TGAGTTTTATAACTCTATGAAAAAAACCATACCAAATTGCAAAGCTCATTTGTAGGAAATTTACTGCTCTATATAAATGGTCTGTATAATTTTTCAATTAAGTTAAGCGTTTACAAGATATTCATCGTCAAACATCAATTCCTATCAAAGGAAAACAAGAAATAAAGGGGTAATAAATACAAAAAAGAAGAAAAAAGAGACATGTTAGTATAAAAACTTATTTTTTCAGCCATTATTGGGATTCTGCGTATCTTTTTCGCGCATACTCGTAGCAGCATTAAGTGATTCCCACTCTCAGGCTATTTACCGATGGTATGTGAAAAATTATTCGGGAGGTTTTAATTATTTAATCAAAATTAAATGTGGTGATATCTAGATATACAGTCTAAAAAATTTCCTGTTTTACTTAATTAAAACCCCCTTTTGCATTTCAAAAGTTACCGACACTCGGAAGCAATGATGTCACCGAATTCACAGAAATCAGTCTACCAGTGGAAGTGAATGGGTTATTAAGTTAAGTAAAGTTATTTTCTGAAAATGAACTCAATGATTTGACACGTGAGCAAGTTGTGAATGATATGTTAATTTTTTAAAGCGATGAAAATTTTTTGTTTTTAATGACACTTCTAGAATACATCCGAGGTATAGAAAAGTTGAAAGGCAAAATATTTGATTATGGTCTTCAAGTACGGCAATTAATGAAAGGAACAGATTTTATCAAGGTTATGACTGTTCTGGAAATTGAAGCTTGGAAAAGTTTTGTGTTGATGGTCGAAAATGTCCAAAGTAATCATAAAATACCAAATTATGAAGAAATTGTAAATAATATGCAGACAAACTTTCAAACACTAGAAGCAAACATGAGTATTAAATTAGACTACATCCGAATTCATCTGGATACGTTTTCGGATACTTTTAGAATTCAGGAAAAAAAAGTGATGGAAGAAAGGTAGCAAGATGGAAGATGGTCCTTAAAACATTGCCAACTGGAAAATTATAAAATAAACGATCATAAAAAAAGTTTTATAGATATATCACATATTTTTTCGCGGTTTTTTTAATTAATTAAAATTTAAATTTTATTTTTTATTTTAACAAAAATTTTAATATGAAAAAATTTAATATATTAAAAACACATTTCTTTATAAAAGCTTAAATATAAAAATAGTTACTCATTCTTTTATGTAGAAAAAAAACCGTTTTATTCAAGAGAACATATTCAAATTGAATGTAATCCAATTTTCATTAATGAAATCCTCCAATTGGTACACTTGTGCTTTTCGATATTTTATAAATAAATTATTGTGCAGTATATTTTGATCGCTAAAGTAAAAGAAAGCGAAATTTTTGCTGTCTGTGATTTTTCTATGTATATTTCATTAAAATTTTAACTCAAATTATTTTATTGACATATTTTTTAATAATTATAGCCAATTAGACAAAGTGAGTTTACCGTCAGAATAACAACTTTCAATAATAGCAATTATGAAAAATATTAAACAATGAACTATTATTTCTATTTATCATTTAATATAATTTAATATAATAATAATTTTGTATTATTTTCTTTTTGTTTAAGACTCATTCAGGGTATTCGTATAGTGTATTTTCTATTGCTTTTTTGTAGAAAATTTTTAATTTTTAAATGTCTTCGGCGTAACTGAAAATTGACAGTGATTTTCAGCAAAAATAATTTAAAGTTTTTGCGTAAATAAAATAATGCTTATTTACCAAATAAATATGATTATTTAATTTTATGTGATATATATTTTTTAATTAAACTAAATAGTTTCTTCAATATTTTTCTCATACATTTTTCTCGTGTAATCTCATAAGATTTTCTAATATCGTTAAGCTTTTGTCTGTACTATAAAATACTAATTGAGGTTTGGTTAAGCTAGAATACCTATCCCCGAGTGGAATACATTTAGGCTTTTGAAACGATATGTGCTTTGTCACATCAATGAAAATATTAAAAAAATTGAGTGCTAAAAGCAAAATACTAATAAAAATTATTAAATTTTTATTAATAGTAAACGAAAATGTATAAATCGTGTTAGATGTCTGTAGATTTTTGTGTTACTCTGTGAATACCCCAAATTTGTTTTACTATTGTTTTAATGACCCAAATACGAGCTAGTCTACTTTTCATTTGTTATTTGTTAACAAGAGCTATTTAATTAAAGAATTATTCTTTGAAATTGGAGAAGTCGTATGTGTAGGTAAGATAACAACTATACATTTTGGGATCAATAACCAGTAATTGAATGATTTTAACTGTATAAAAACAGTGTGTTAATGGATTTTTTAATATTTTTAGTATATAGGATGTGGGTACAAACATAGATTTATTGCCAAATTTCGCCGCTAATGGCACAAACAACTGATTTACATATACAAGTTTAACCATTGAGAGAATCTTAAATTCGTTGGTTGCGCCTCAACAAGACTGGTCCCAACTTAAAACTGTTGATTACTCCATTAGTTTGAAGGTCAGCAATGAAATGCGCATAAACAGCAACATTTTTACACGCATACATAACAGCATATGTTAGCTTATACACACATATATATACTTATATATACATACGCACGTACTCTGAATACATACATATCTACATATGAGCATATTAGTTGTGGGGGGGATAATGAAGCGGGAAGCGCTACTGCAAATGGAGATTATAAAAATCTAGAATTGGTAACTTGAATTGCAAAGAAACTTGTGCAAGAATTCTAAAATTATAGTGTTCTTGTTTTTTCGACAAAAACAAATAAATGTAGCACAGTAGTGCCAAGGAAAAAAACGTCAGTATGTATGTGTGTGTGTGTGTGTGTGTGTAGTTTTAGTCATGCAGACGTTTTTTATGCAACGAACAATTTCTTTATTTGCATAAATTAGCGAATACGCGCACAAAAAAACCTGCAGCGCTGAGTAAGACCCAAATACACTATATTAAATTTATATATAACAGACATATGTACGTATATAAACTAGATGCAGATGTTTGTATGCGAGCGCAAACAGGTCATCTTTAAAAAGAGTCCACTTAATAAATAAAAGTCCGAATGCCATTTGAAATCGAAGTTGTCTCACCAGAACCAGAAGTGGTGTCTGGAACGTCTTCGTTATTTGCCGTATATTCATACAAATGCGATATTTGTAGATTTGCGCATTCAGTGCTTCACAGTTACACATATGTATGTGTGCGGGTGTGGAAGCTTGTAACATATAAGCTTGTAAGTAGGCTTGATTTACTGTTGCGAGTGCGTACGTGTTACCTGTATTTCCAACATATGCCTTATGTCACACATGAGGTAACTTCACTCTACAATAAAAACGCATAGATTGCAAGATCATCTGGTACTATCTTTTTCTGCTTATGTGACTAACTTTCTTCGACTGCAGCAGTTAGACTGATGTCATTGCTTCTGACTTTCTTTGGCATTCGCCGCGTGTTGTATAAATCTCGTACTAACTAGCCAATTTCAGCTGGCAAATCGCGTTCGCAATACTTCATTGTTGGCGCGAAAGTTTTGGCTCAGTACGTGTTCTTACCAGCTTGAGGGTAGTCACGTAACGGGTTTTCAGTCAGCTGCTACGGTTATCGGAAGACTACCACAATTTTCGTCGGTTGAGCAGGCAAAAGAGCTAAATTCCGGTTAAGATTTAGCTGAGTTCTTGCTAATTTATATCTGGTACTCTACTGTTCTACCCTAACTGGTACACATCTTATTTCAACGACTCACCAATAAATATAATGCAAACGAAAATCCTACGTATGTTTATTAGGTCGTGTTCTGAGCGCTAATGGTTTTAATGCGCTTTTTTTTATACATATAATTTTTTCTATCATGCTAGACATCCTTATAAGCCATCATATCTTATAGTGGCAGCTATTTCCTTCAATCTCATTTTATGTTCATCCAAAATCAGTTCATGGATTTTCTGCTGTTTTATTCCATAACAAACTGCTTTGGACGTCCAAGGTGTTCATTTTTATCGGTGCGAATTGCCAAGAATTGGTTCATCTGCAACTCAGATATTACTCATCTAGGCACATTTTGACATCTGCCACATTTCTTTCGCCAAAAAAATAAAATTATATTTCATTAACATACAAAATTCCTAAAAATAATTCCATAAGAGTCATGAATACAGTTTTTAATAGCTAGAATATTTAAGCTTAAATGATAAATTTTCAAATTAATTGAAATAAACATGGTTTTAATATTTTATAGAATATGGAAAAAACTTTTTACTATGCTAAAGCCACTCGAGGTTGTAGAAAAATTTACATAAATAAAAGTTATTTGTTCTTATGCATTATGCATGCAGGCATGCCCTCATAATATTTATGCTAAAAATAACACATACATATGTAGAATATAATATTTTAACGGCGCCACCACAGCACCTTCTTTCAAAACTTCACTCACTTACGAGGGTGGAGTGAATATATTCAACGCCATTAATTTTCAAAATTTATTTGTAGGATTCTAATATTGCATTTTTATTAAAAACAAAGACTAGTTTTGGATTTGTTGCTGGTCATGCATAAATCTGTCAATTAAAATCAATTATTTGCTTTTGAAATTGGTGTTCGATTTTATAAAAAGGTCTCTTCGTTTGCAATAAAACAGCTATAAATGGCCAAAAAGCTGCGATAAAAATCTGTTTATATTCTCAGCTTGAATCACAAGATTTTAGTTTCCGGGTTTCAATTATTTTCAATTTATATTGCCAGCTGTCAACTCCGATTATTTATATGCCCATATCAATTTCGGCTCCTTTACGCTGTTAATGTTTCCTAAGCTTAATGAAATGATTGCTATTAATTATTAGAACTGGCTCCAGGTGTCTGAAGATATAAAATATAGATTTATTTCTCAGAAATATTTAAATAGCTACCGCCAGCACTTAAACAAATAATTGGTTTTTGAGTGAACATATCGTTAGGCTCTTCTTATCTGTTGCCCCCGCCAAAGACGGCAATACAAAATGACAAATGTACAATTTTCCAAATGAATTACAACAGCTGGCGGCGTTGCGCAGACCTTTTCAGCTCGACGTATAAAAGACAATGGCTTAGTAGATTGCAGTTTAGTAGCAGCTGTAAAACCTATTACGATACTAACGGTATTTACAACGCCACCAAAGCTCTCGGCTGTTTTATAAATAACGGAAGCTCAGAATTTTTTTCAAATTCCAAATAAGTGCATCTTGTGGTTGTATTGTATTCTAAGTGTTTGTAGGACTGCGCTGCAATGCATTTCTTCGAGTTGCTTAAACTTTGTCAGAGGTTGCTATTCTTCTTGCCACTGACAACTGCCAATAATCCAGAAACACCTAAAACTTCATTGCGCGGTAAGTGTGTTTTCAAATTTTTTTGATGTTGTTGTTGTTACTGTATATTTAAAACTTTTAAAAAATAATTAAAAACATTAAAAAAAAAAAATGCATTAAAAATTTAAAAAAATTTACAAAAATTTTGAAAACCAAATAGCATATTATTATGCAACAACTGCTGCATTCTAATTACTTTTGTGTGCTATTAAATTATTTTATTTATTGTTTTCCTCTGAAGTTGTGTTTCTGTGATCACTTGTTTTCATATTCTTCACCTTCGTTACACTTGAGTAACATTCGAAGTACAGAACTCAAAATACATAAGTGTACCACCGTTCCATTCATATAATTAACCATCGCGTATTAAGCGTTCGTACTGCCCTGTTGCCGGTATAAGTAGTTCCGTAGCTGTCAAAGATTTCCGTAGGCGTGTTTTGTGTCTGTGCAAATATGTACATGTATAACATACATACATACTATGTATTTGTGCATGTACTTAGTTAATCTCAACAAACGTACAATAAGTTTACCAGTATTCGGTGATTTATGATCGATTGCGCTAACGGCCGCCAGTATTTCTTGCTTTCTATGTTGTGTTGGGTTCTGACAAATTATTAATATGTATGTGCTGATTTAGAAAATATACGTAAATTATTACGTATCATTAATTAATGCATATTTATTGTTCAAAAGAATATAACAAGGTTTTAAAATTAATATTTATGATCGGGGTCATAAGAGTCATTAGTGATTCTTTACAGCCGATAAAATCTCGATCGAAATTTTTTTTATAACCAAAAGCCTAAATATCACTTCAAGTTTGTTCGAAATATGAATATAGTTTAGCTAATGAAGATATTGGAAATATCGATTAAATATAATCGAGAAACAAATAAATTCTTTCAACAAATGTTCCAAAAGAAAACAGATTTATTTTTCAAAATGAATAAATGCTACATTGCTATCATGTCAAATGACGCCCTTCTTCGTGTAAATCATTAAAATGCTTCTACTTAATGCTCAAAACGATGAATACGGGAATCTGTCTCAATAGACCTCCTTTTAACATTTTTTATAGAAAGTAATTAAGCGGCACAATAAAGTGTGATCGCTATTAAAAAGTAATTTTTGGGAATTTTTTCAAAGAAAACTACTGCATGAAATGTTTTAAAATTTTCAGAATATACAATATTTACTCACAAATAGTGAATATACGCAAAGAAATAAAAATAATAACAAAAATAACTTTTTATTTTTAGCGAGTTATTCGCTATTTCCGGAGTTACGAAAAAAGTTCCTAAAATGCTGTTATGATTGTGGCCTTCGCCGTCGTTAAAATCAAGAAAATAAAAAATTATATAAAAATGGAAGATAAACCTAAACAATGACCTATAAAAATTTAAAATTTAACCAAGTCTGCCAGACTTTGAAAAAAATTTCGAATTTCGCTCAGAAATCAGATGATTTTTGGCCTAATTATTAGATGATTTTTATACATTAACAAAACTGGAATGTCATTGTACGGACAAATACCTGCTGATGCCAAATAAGCGGGAAAAAATTAAAGCGATCTGTTGACTCTTTTTTGAGTTACAACTGTAGTCAATCTGAAAAATGTAGTTTTGATAAAAAACGCTTTCAAAACTAAACTGATTGAACTGAGCGTCTACATTTTAGAAAACTGTAAAAACTATTTGAAGTACTAATTAAAAATTTTGGTATGTTATTTTCAAAAATATATACATGCTATCGAAATACGCAAAATTTTCGAATTTTCACACTAGGTGTGCCCCTTCAATTAGTTTGATCGAACAGCAGCTCTCGTCAGTACTTGTCAGTAGTGATCATTTGTATTACTTTTACTAAACAATTATTATTAATACTTTGATGCTTTGCCATTTTTGTGCTGCAAAAACTGGCAGCAAGAAGGAAAATTGAAAAAGCAAAGTATTATTTCAATTTCAGTGGAAATTTATATATTATATTTTTGGCAAATGCGAAAAACAGCTGATCATTAATATTTTTAATAGAATAACCAAAACAGAACTTTAAAACTACTTACGAGTATTTACAATGTAAATGTAAGTTTTGGGTCGAAATACTCCTTTATATCGAATGATGCCGATTCGTAGACATTTTCTCACTAAGTACTTTTACCAGAAAATAACGAGTCAAATAGTTTTTGCATGCAAAAATAAGTAACAGGCAATATAATATTTGAGTTCAGCAACAAACACGTGATAAATTGCTCACGTTCTTAAAACTGATTTAATTACCTGGTATGGTAAGTCTGGCTGTTTTAAATATTTGCTAACTAAGCGATAAAGCTTGTGAAAACATAATAATTAAGTTACTTTAAAATTGACTGGAATTTGAAATAAGTTATATTGTTATTATTATTATTATACAAATATGAAAATAGAGCTGCCTATTAATTTAAAAACCTAAGATATTTCTTCATATTTCTTGAACTTTTAACGAATAGTGATTCATTAGTGTCAAACATCATAATATGAGAGAATTTAACAATATATGGGAATACTTATACATGGATATAAATATTTATGCAGTCTTTTAGCTAAATGCTAATAAAAACTGTTTATTACTGATCATTAGATGACTATTTGCTTCACTTACATCTGCTCTCCATATATTGTAAGTAGTGAGTGATTTTCGAAGTGACGTATACGCCACGGTGGCTATTTTTCTTGATTTACACTTTCGTCCAACAAGCGTTGATTCTTTCGATTAAATGTTTAGAGCTCACTAATATATACAATACAAGTTAAGCTGTAAAGCTCATGCACTTTGAGTATTCGTGATATAAATTTTGTAAAGCAGTTGAAATTTTTCAAAAGAGAATTGAAGAATTTGGAGAAAGTAATAAGGTTATATTGAAGCATTGCGCGCTAGACTTAAGTATTTGAAAATTTTTGAATTTTTCTTTTTGATATCACAATTTAGTTAAATAACTTACCATATTTTTGTCAATTTAATTTTTTATTTTTTTTTGCTTTAATACGTAGTAAGCTTTTTTATATATTATTCAATTTTTGGAAATTTCTAAACAATCACTTTAGCACTTTCCGGCTTTTTTGGGTAAATGAAGTAATCGTAAACTTTCAATACCACCTGCATAGTCGGCGATTGAAAGCTGGTAAGCTGCTAAAAGTTTTATGGCACTCTTAAACTACTCATGCTATAGAAAATTAGCATGTTATTGTTTCATTTATTACTTGCCAAAATTGCAACTTGTTCTTGTCAATTAACCATTAAGTGCAAGTTATTTTAGCGCTCTGTTTTCTATTCAGACTTTTTTCCTTCGATGAAATTTTTAAACGATTTTTACATTTTTTACAGTAGCTTGTTTAAAAAAGTATTTACAATGACAGTTGAATGGTAATTTGCAATGTCATTAAGTCTAAATTTAATTATTTTGTCGTGACACATTTATTTGAGTGCAAATATTATAATTTGTCCATTTGTTTTAAAGAAATTCGGTTCAGTGGTATTGTGTGTTCGAAAAGTGAGAAGTGGGAAAAATGTGGCGTTAATTTTTTTTTTTGTTTAAATCAAGATATATTTATAATTAACGCTATACCGAAACAGAAAAAAATCAAGATTCGCTGAAGGCACTGCAGACCATTCCAGCCGAAACTTACCTGTTAACAAGTGTTTCGAAAATATAAGGTTATTGAAGGCGATGAGCAGATTTCCATTAAACTACGTGAAAATGTAGTTTTTTGTCAGTCCGGTTCAAATTTGATCACATGATAGTTTTTATAGTATATAGTATAGTTAAGTTAAACATTTTTATAAACAGCTGGGAGTGTTCTTCGTAAGAGTAAGTTTTTTTTCCCATTTTCCAATAAGAATTTGTGAATTTCTATCGTGAGCGGTAACCTTACCTGGAGAACAGACTTTTTTGAAAAACAACAAATTTTGTATTAGTCGAGTATAAATTTTAAATTGTTAAAAATTAAACTTCAAAAAGGTTTTTTTTTAATATTTTATACAGAGAGTAGATGGCAGTGAGGAAATATTTACCCAAAATATAAACTAAAATGTGTTGCGACAAGGGTTAAGGGCTTAGGTTTAAAAATAAAATCGAATTTTTCTGTACAATCCGACGCCGAAGCGTTGGGATCGAAAAGCCTCAGCAATTTTAAATCGTGCGACAATGGTCTCGGACTTGCAAGTATTAATTTGAAATTTTAACTGTAGCTTCACAGTAATATTATCTAGTAATATTTTTTCGGAATTATTATTTTTTTCACATAGCACAAGTTACTAAAATCGTCGTCGCAACTAAAGTCCGTCTTGCAAAAGTGAATGCGAAAATTATGCCAGTAGCTGTTATTTTGTATTAAAATGTCAGTATAAAATTTTTATGCACTTCAATATAAATTTCATAAAACCTGAAAGAGTTACATTTTTAAGGGCCCTGGGTTAGCCTAACCCCTTTAGAGATGCAAAGTTTTCCCGCTAACTCTCTAACACTAAAATACTGCCTTTCAAGCATAATTTCTTGACGATAGCATCAAATATCGTCGCTCATTTTCAATAATTCTATAGGAATAATAGTTTTTGTCAAACAAACGATTTATTCCAAATCAAAAAAATTCAGAAGCAATTTTTTTGTCTTAAACATTCAACTGTCAAACACAATATGCCAGTAGATATTGCTAAAACACCACGCGAATATCCAACGAGAACGAGTTGAAACAAATTATTGTGGGTTAATTTTGTTCAGTTAAAGTCCTCCTTCGCACGCTTCTGAAATTTGTAAGAAAAAGCCGATTTTTGGAATGTAAAACAAAAACTACTGTATCAATTGTTTAGAATTTTTAAGGGTGTATTTATACGTATTTTAAGAATATACAGAAAAATTTTAAACATTTTTCGAGTTAGACGTGATCTTAGACGGTGCTAAAAAAAGTGCCACCATTGCTGCAGTGTTTCTGACCTTCTCCGTAGATGAAAGCTACTCGTTAAAACAAATTGTATGCTATAAGATATTGTCCCAACAAAAATAAAGCATTGACAAAATCTCAGCTTGAAAAAAAGCTCATAAAACTATTTGAGTTATCAACTAAAAATTTTGGAATGTTATATTCAAAGCTATAATCTCTCGAAATATGATATTTATCTTAGATTTGCATTTTCTTTCATATAATTGAAATATAAATAAAATATATTAACGAATAAAAAAAGTAAAACGAATGTATATGTTTGTATAAATATTACTTGTAGTATATTGTCATTTTTATATTGTTATAGTTTGATATTACATTTTTTTTGTTTCTTGCAAATACTATTACCAAATAAGTATCTGTATTTACATACATTTGCATGCATGCTCTTCCATTAACTCTAAATGTGCTAAAAAAATATATAACTCCGTTGCTTTCTTACGCTAATATCACCATGAATATTACTTTGAATTTCCTATACACTTTGCCCCTAAACTCATTTACCGTTAGTTTTAGCCGATTTGTATGCACAAAATGTGGCCAACACACCGAGCCCTGTATTGAGAGCGCGCACCGGCTTACTCGCACCCGACAGCGCACGCATACCCAGCGGCAAACCTTTGCCACAACGCGTGCGAAATCCATTGAAGAGATACATATTATTCGAATTGGCATTCATGATGGCAAACTCTTTCTTCTCGCCCTTGGGCACCAGACGGAATGTGACATTCTTGGCTTTCAGTGGTGTCACACGATAGTTGAATGTGTGAAATTTACACTTCTGTGTGTCATCGCCGTTTTTGGGCTGGCAACAAGGGGTGGGCGCCTTATAGCTTGGTTTCTTCGCGCATGCGCTACCCGATTTGCCACCCTTGCCGCCTTTGCCTTTATCGCTTTTGTACGTTTTCATCCTGCAAATAATGTAAGCATTTAACCGTAATTTGCATAACATACTCACTATACACTATACACTATATGGTAGCAACAACATAAGCCAATATGCAACTAATGTATGCATGTGTTACTTTGTAAACTGGGTTAGTGTGCAATTTGTGTGTTTGCGGATGGTGTGCATGTGCGCGTGTACATTTGTACCAATTCAAATGCATGGCTGCTTCCTCAATTTGCCGCTTATCGGTTAGTTTACATAATGGTTGGTGATTTGTCTGCGCATAATTGTAGCTCTGGCAGCAAGATGAACGATAAATACATACCAAGAAAATGCCATCTTCGCTCTCGATCGCCCCTAAGAAGAAATTCGCGTGCGTGAGAAATGTCGTCAATGACGGATCTTACATATTGTAAAACAGCTGTATATACTGTGTTATTAGTTTGTAGTACCCCTTAGTGTAGGCGTATGCAAAACCCCGTTAAAATTATTTAAGTAAATATTTCCACGGTATTCCTATTTAATAGTATGCACAACTTCTTTGCGATTACCGTAATTGTTTATATTTTTTCTCCTAACTACAGGTTATTCACCTAAATAATTATATTACCATATTTATCTACTTTTGTAAATTTCGAGTCACATGCATCTCTATCATCTAATTGACATAAGCAGACAACGTCATAATGCTTCGTGTGCGTTGGACAAAATACAGACTAATTGTACTAGTAAATAGGTTACCACGAACATGTACCCATTTATAAACACACATTTATTCGCATGTTTGGTAAATTTCAGTGCTTACAAATGATTACTGAGATCAAACGCTCCACAGCATTTTCGCTTTCATATGTTTTGGTTAAAATTTTCGTTAAATAATACGTTTGCTGACGTCATATCTCGCTGCTATTGTTGTTTGTGTTATTTGCAAGCATTTTCCTCCACATTTTCGTAAGTAAAATAAGTGAGCGTCATTGCAAAATACATTGAATAATATCACCAGCTTTAGCGAAATTTCATGCGCGTGTGGTAACTTTTTGGGCAGCATTGTGTGACATCTCTTTCGTTTATTTATGTTTCGTTTCTACCTTTCAGCAAATTCTTTCACCTATGACAACCCCGCAGAATGGCATTTGGAGTATCCGCAATGTGGTGGCCAAAAGCAATCGCCAATTGCAATTAACTCAAATAAGGTGAGTATTACTATATGTTAGACTAAGTACGGTCTAGATTTAGAAAAGTAATGTTTAGAGTTATTAAAGAACTTTAACATTTAAAACTAAAATTGTGAACGGCAATTACTCGAAGTGAAAATGCTGAGCTGATTTCACTCCTTGGTCTCTGGTCAGGAAAAGCTATGGTATCCTTGACAGTTCTAAGTTTAACAATAAATTTCATAATTTTCCTGTTAAGCCAGGCCCGTAGGACATTTCTTTGCGACCCTAGGGTGAATCCTTACCTACTCCAGCGGTTCAAGAAAGCACCAATTAACAAAGATACCTTAAAACCAGAACCAAGTGTCCGTTAGCCGGATATTTTGCTTTGACAACTTCCCTCTAATTAGGTCGATTTAATATAAACAACCTTCAACTCGAATTAGAGGTACTTAACAAAGAGAAATAATATTTTATGAAGATCTTTATTTTGATTTTGATCGGTCCGTGGATTTGAAGAATTTCTTCGGAGATTGTAGCATTGCATTAGACATTAATTCATGCCAAATTTCTTGCAATATCTTGACAAATAAAAAAGTTTTACATACAAGGATTTTGATCGATCATTTTGTATGCCAGTATGGCCTATAGCATTGCGATATCGGTAGTTCGGACAAATGAGCAGCTTCTCGAAGAGGAAAGGACGTTTCAGATCGATATCTCAAAAATTGATCGCGTATATACAGACGGACAGACAGACATGACTATATCAACTCAGCTCGATCATTTATATATCTACTTTATAAGTTATTCGACGTTTCCTTCTGGATGTTACAAACTTCCTGGCAAACATAATATACCTATTCAGGCTATAATGACGCCTGAAATTATATTAAATTCGAGTATAACTTACTGATCGATACAATGTAACAAGCAATTTAATAATGTAGTAACTTAATTCACTTTCTTTTATAGACAGTGAACGTCGATATTCCAGCGATCGTATTCGGATCATATGACGTGTTTTTTTCCAACTTTGTTGTTTTAGAGAACAATGGACATACAAGTGAGTATATACCTATGCTAGTAAAAGTAGAGCAAATAGCATAACTCATTTTAACTAGAGGCAAGTTTTTTAAGTACACAATTTGTAGGTCTAATACAATTATTTCAAATAAGTATATAAACAAACATTAATTAAAGTCATATTATATTTACAATAAAGCATTTTAACTTTGTATCTATTTTTCTGACTCAACTACTCTTCAATAAACAACGTTTATCCCCACAGTCAAATTCAATGTACCACCAACAATTGAGCGCGTCCCACCATGCATTACAAATGGACCACTTAAAGACATCTACGAAGCCGTCGAGGTACACTTCCATTGGGGTTCACCATTGACTAAGGGTTCCGAACATCAACTCAATGGGAAACGTTATGACGTCGAAATGCATATAGTACACAAAAATTCCAAATACAGCACTGTGGAAGAGGCGCGCGAGTTCGAGGATGGTCTGTCGGTGATAGGCGCTTTCTTTAAAGTAGAGAAGGTAAATGGCTTACTGTTGCTAAGCTTGTTTTTGAGATAATATATTTAATTCAATTTTTTACAATATTTAAAGACTATTGCCAATATTTTCTACCCTGGTCTGAGCACAGTCTTCAACACAGTGCCGTATGTGCTTCGTTATAATTCGACGGCATCTACGCAACAATTGATTACACTCGGCTCATTGCTGGCTAATATTAATCGTGAGAACTTTTACACTTATCAGGGTTCACTGACAACACCGCCTTGTTCCGAAGCGGTCACATGGATTGTTTACCCGGAAGTCATACCAATATCTGTACTTCATGTATGTAACGAATATTTTAGCTTTCAAAATGATGAGATGAATTTCATTTTTTGCTCTCTAATTTTCAGCTGAAAAACTTTTGGTTTGTACGCGATGAGGAGGGGCGGAAGTTACTAAACAACTATAGACCTCTGCAACCGATTGGTTCACGTGAAGTCTACTATCGATCCGATATGGGTGTATTGAATTATTACTTTTAGATTTGGATTTTCGGATGGATTTCCAGAAAAAGCATGAAACTAAATGAATGACACTAGAGACTTAATATTAGAAAAAGTTAGTTACACAATTCATATTTAGTTTTTTACTTTTCGAAAGCCTTAAATTATTTAATATTTTTTATATTGTTATATTGTTATGTAATTTTGTTAACACTAGTAATAAAGCAGTAATATGTAAAAATAAATTTTTTTTTCCTCTCCTTATTATAATTAATTAATTACAATGAAAAAGTAACCCCCCCACTCCCTCTGGAACATAGTTAAAAAGAAGGTTAATACAAATATGGTTTTTACCCAAATTTAAATAGATTTGCTCTATAATCTCTTACTCGGTTTACCTCTTTGTTAAAAAGTTTACACAGAAATAGTAGTAGTATATATTTAGGGTGCTACTGAACTTAGTGACTGTTTCGGTAGAACTACGAGTATACTACGCAACGTTTAATTAAGAAGTCTGTTGTGTTGAAAAGAACTTGCTTACAAGCGGTGTTCGAGTTTTTATATAGACTTAAGATTTTCTAAAGGGAATTTAAAAAGAAAACTTAACCAAGTACATATAAGAAACCTGTATGTGTAAACTTGATCTAAAGAGAGCATGATGACATGCGGCCTAGAAAGTAAAAGTATTCCCTCAGAACACTCCATAAACCTTATCTTATCAGCAAATGCTAAGGGATGTTATAGATTAATGGATAAGAGACGGTTGATGGATTAGTTTTCACTCTCCTTCTCATCACTACTGACGAAAAATCTACTATTAGATGCCGTGGGCTACAACGTCTGAAAGGAGTTTAATTAGCTGTACAATAACAACGGCCTTTACAACTACACTCTTTTGATTTGAGCTCTTTAGACTTTATCTTTGATTATCCAGCTATTTTATTTTATTGCCTCTAACCATATAATAAATAGATAATAAGCAAAAATATTGTTGATCTTTTAGTTAATTCGAAAATGTGACTTTACAAATTAACACTTTCGATCTGACGATACATAACTACAAGCCAGTATTGATTAAAGATGAGCCTCAGCACTTCGAAAAAACCTGGATTCGATTCCATTCACCAACCAAAATAACCTCGGCAGAAAATGTCAAACCTTCAAGTGACACGCATACCATGCAAAAAACTAGAAAGGAATCTTTCAGCCATTTGAAGATGTATTAAAACTTTTAGCACCCTCAACTTGATGTATAACATTAAGGCGATCATTACAAACAGGTTGAGAAATTCCACCTATTTTATTTTTAAATAAAAAAGACGCTGTAATTTCAGTGTGTTGGTGTCTTTTATTTTGATTACTTTTATTTTGATATTTTTATGTTTTTTTATTTCTTAAACTGCATGAAAACTATATGTGTGTATATCGGACAGGTATGATGCCACCAAAATATATATTTTAAGTTAATAACGGCGGATTTACTAACTTATTTTTATACACATCCTATTTACAGTTTAAAATCTGACTTTTATTATAATTTTATTTGTTTTTTTTTTGTGTTTTGGTTTTTGGTGGGTTGAGAAACAACAACTAGCAGTGGTTTTACTTAAGCTCTAAGAATTTAGGTACATTTTCGCGATCGAACTAAAAGTATAACAACGTTTTAAATAAATATATACAAACAAAAGTACCGTTGAAGAAGCTTCAGCAACGCTTCCAACAGAAATCAAAAAGTTTTATTTCTAAAAATATATATTTTTTTTTTTAATAAAGGTACTGTTGACTGTGTGGAGAGCAGCTGAAGTAGTCAGTGTCTTTTCTTTGTTTTTAATTTTTGTCTAAATATGTAAAGTGAGGTTAGGCTATTTTTGTGCAATTTAACCGCTAAACACTAACGCTCTATATATTTATGTATCTTCATCGTTTACTCAGCTACCGTTTTACAGCACCATCATTTTTATCGACATTTATTTTGATTTAATTTTTTTTTGTGTTTAAATTATTTAAGCTTTGAATTTGAATGCGCGTGGACTTACTGGCCATTTCACTGGTTTTAATTTTTTTTTGGTTTTTATGCGTTAAAAACAAATCACAGTTCTATGCGCTGCACCTTTAAGATACGGGGCACTTGACACAACGCTTCAGGCTTAGTGCCATGTCTTTAAAATTAACACATTCATTTAACTAATTAGAAGAGAATTTAAAATTTTTTTCTAATGCACTAATTATAATTTTTTTTTTTGTGATTAAATGTGCAGTGTCGTTATTTCTCGATTTTTTTCATATATATTATTTTTGCGTTTCTCAACAGTTATCATCTACGTATATTTTGTGTATGCGTGTGAGTCTGTGTGTGTGTCTAGTACATGTCATGCATTTGCATTATATATCGCTTACATACGTATTTATTTAGAGAGTTTGCCTGTGAAATAGAAGACATAAGAAGAGAGAGAAAAAAATAATAATATTCAGCATTGCACGTCATAAATTTAGTATTTCAATATGTGCTATACATGCCAATCGGAGGGGATAAAACCAATCTGTTGTCAATCGAACTATACAAGGGGTAATGCATACATACGTTTAGAGTTTCAATATTTTCATCAATTTATTTTTGTGTTGTTTTACTCTTTTTGTAATTATTATTATTATTTTATTATTTGCTTTTCAGTTTTGCAGCGTTAAAGCATAGTACATCACAGGGCAAAGCATCTTCCTAGACGTTTTAAGGAATAATTAGTCTGCAAAGGTCTTTGGTACTTGCAATGGCGTCTAGTTTAGCACAGAAAAACATTAATTCGTTAACATTGAGATTTTACGAGCTTTATTTATATTGTTTCGAAACAAAAAATGACAGAGTTAAATCTAACGAGAAAACGTTGATAGCATGAGTATGAACGATTTTGTATGGTTATGTAATGTATATAGGTATATAGTATTAAGAATTACTATTATTTACGGGAACATTTAGACTTCAAAGTTTTTTTTTTTAATTTTATGCATTTTAAACCTATCATACACAAACATCTCTCACATCTTTTTTTTAATTAACTTAACTAGGAGGAAGCCACTAAAACTATTTCCGCAATCGGAAGGGACCAAGAAATATCACCTACACGAAATTGTTTTAAAACATTTAGGGAATATTTGTTGTGCTGCTATAAAAACAACATAAAAATTGAATCTTGGTATTCGACTAATCGACTAACCGCATTAACCGAATAGGGCATTATTAGAATAATATTCGGTTTACAGTATCCGGATTGTCGTAAGTCGTCGACTATTGAATTAATCGCTAATTTTCGACTATCCGGTTAACCTTAAGTGAACATATTTGTTCCGGCAAAATCCCTGACAGTTTTTTTAAGGTTCAAGGTTCTATAACACGATGAAACCTTTGCTGGAGCTTCTGATCAAGTTAAGTTTAATATAACTACTAGTTAATCAAAGTGATAAAAATAAATAAATAAAATTTATTAAAATCAAAAAATATACTTTTTTTAAATAAAATTTATTGAAATTAAAAAAAAAATTCTGGGAAAATTTTTCTAAAGCTGCGTTAAATACCCAAAAATATATTTTTTATTTCTTAAAAAAAATTATCTGACTCTATTAACTACACGATAAACATTATTGGTGGTACAGCTAACAGAAATTAACATTCGTGTTCGTCATTTTAGGCTTATATTAGTAGGCTTATATATACTTTCGAATCCTCATCATAATGGATAAGTTTTTTCTCCGAGCTATCGAAACATCGCACTATTTAGAAATAACGCAAAAATATTAAAATTATAAAAAAAATTGATTCAGTATAATAAAGACTGAATTGCTTATATATTTAGTATTAAATGTTACATAATTCTTTAAAAAGTTAAAAAAAAAAATATTTAAGTTTGTAATTGCAATCGGTTCGCAATTGTGTATTTGTAATAAAATAATAATAATAATATGTAATAAATATTAATAATAACAAAAAGAACAAAAATAACAAAAAAAATTAGAATAAAACAATTGGATAAAAAAATCTTTACTCTAAATTTTTTAAATTATTTATTTATTTAAATAACCGACATGACGAAACTGATACTTTAGTATCTTCACTACATTCTCGCCCTCTAAAAGTCTGAAAATCGCAAAAAGTTGTTTGAAAAAAAAACCAAGATTTCCACCCACAACTCTTCTGTAACATTTTTGCTGAGCAGTTAGCGACACAATAGTATTTTCGAACATGTTGAAATGATATGTAATGAATGATTGCAATGACTTTTTTACAAAACCTTTTCTTTTTATTATTAACAATTTTGTTATAAAATTAATTTATTAATATAACAATTATAGAATTAAACATTTAAAAGTGATTTATAGCTATTTACAAATATATACATATATATATATATATATAGCTTTAGGATACATATATGTATTAATATAGTATATGTACATATAGACTTCATAATATACAATATACTTCAATTAACATAATGTATATGTATACAAATACATATAAATCGCATTGCGTAAGATTAACAATGCATTTTGTTAGCTTTTCTAGCTTTCTATCCTTGTGCACACTTATGCTGAGGGGAGATGAATAGGCGGCATACGTTTGTGAAATTGTTGTAGGCTGTAGTATTGATGCGTGAAAGGAAAATGAGTGAAGAGCAACTGCCATAATTTACAATTACAATTCTTTTGTATTTATTGTTAATTATTTATGCGTTTTTAGTCCTTGTATGTGTCAGAGAACAGTGTTTAAGGAAGTGCGCTCTCTCTCTCTCTTTCTCTCGCTCTTTATTATGCTTGAAATATGCGTTTTAGTTAATGTTTTCCAATAATCCAATTAGTTGAGAAAATTTTATATATATTTAAATAAATATATATTATTTTTGTGAAATACGCTGTAGGAAATTACAATTTTGGTTGCACAATAATGGGCTCGTCCCTAAGAGAAATGGAAAATGCGTAAACTTGTGTTTAGCGTTACGATGTATGAAATTTTGGACAATTCTAGAAAGTTGATTGTTGCAAGATTGATTAATGATTAGTTGTTAGTAATGCTGTAAGGCGGTTAAACGTAAAATGGGGACGGGACAACACAACACAACGTACTTGATGCATGCATAAATAATTTTAGAGTGGAAATATGTTTGTGGGATGATATCTGCAATAAAATTAAATGAATTAAACATGTATATGCAAAGATCGTTTAAGCGAACAAACAATAGTGACGCTATGAAAAAAAATTATAGAGAATGTTCAAAGAAATACAAACCTTTGCGCAAGAAGCATAAGTGTCCGCTAAAGCACTTTTCACCACTCAAACTCAATTTACAAGAAAATTGAGTTTTAAATTTATCAATTATATACAAATATTGGCACAATAAAAATTAATCACTTAATTAAGCACAGGCAGTAGAAGTAAAAGCTTGACCATAAAACAAAAAAAAATTATTAAAAAGAGATATATAATATTTCCAACCCCCAAAGCACTTCGTATAGTTGCTCAAAAAGCAGAGAAACAGCCATCAACATTAATATACACAAGTAAAATATAAAGCAAATGCTGACAGAAAAAGTTACATACATCCTTCACTTTTGGCCGCTACCAACAATCATGCGTTCCTAAGTGCTGCCGTAGCAAAGTTAGGCAAAGCAGCCTCCTCGACTCAGTATATTTATTATAGCATTTACAATATAATTTTTGTTTCGAATTTTAAGCATTTCGTGTGCGCTATTAGTAAGTAGTCTGGTAGTGCGGCAAGTAAATAAAATAACAAATTTTGGTGTCCAACAGCAGTGTATTTTAAGTTTTAATATCTTCTATATACTTAAATTTAGTTAAGAAATAAGCGAACATTAAGAAAGCTAATGCTAATTATTTACGATTTTAGGAAGCTAGCAAAAGCAAATAAGTACAAATAAACATTAAAACGTGCAACAACAAATGTAAGCTACATAATTGTAAATTATATCACAAAAATTGGCAAATTTTTACATAGCAGAAGCATTAAATAGTGGGATAATTTTGCATTGAGAGGAATATCTTTTTATTGATAGTGGGATTATTTGGTTAATCGAGTTTACTGTAGAGATTAGGAATTTAGGAACGCTAAAGAACACAATTAACTTACATGTGCTCGGGATGATTACGTATGCAATCAATTAAATCTTGAACTTTCAATTGATTTGAGCAGATTTTGTGAATGGCCGTGAAGAGTGGAAATCTGTAAAGGATAGTTCAAATAAAAACGTAAACAGTAAGTAATTGTATTTTGGCATTGAAAAATTTTGTGTGCTTACTTCTCTTCCAAGCCCTTATTTTTCAACATGTAATTCACTTCCTCAGCCGTGGGTGGACCCTGCAATTTCTGGCCATTTAGCAATTCGGTTTCTAGTTCCGCAATAGTTTTGCCGGTTTTTACGAAAGCCTCTGCAACGCGACGATTGCGGCCACCTGGTGTAGGTAAAAAACAAAATAGTTGAATTTTTCTTTTATTAATTTTTTTTTTTTTTATATAGATAAATACCATAGCAGGTGGTAATCAGATCAGCAACGCCGCAACTTTCGAAGAACGTTGACAATTTGCTGCCTGGGTAGAAGACATCCACGAATCGTACCATTTCCATAAGACCCAAACGGATAACTGCCGCTTTGGTGTTATCACCCAAACCTAGACCATCGACAAAGCCAGCGCCGGTGGCAACAATGTTCTATAACAATAGAAGAAAATGTTTGCTTATTAATTTAAAAAACTAAAGCAAATATTTAACACCGTACAGACCTTGAGTGCACCACAAACTTCAACGGCATCAGAGTCGTCCACCACAACAACACGGAAGTTTTGCGATTGGAAGAGATCACGCAGTGTTTTAGCATACTTGATGTCCTGACAACCAATGGTGGTCTCACAGAAATTACCCTGTGCCACTTCATTGGCCAAATTAGCGCCCATAAGTACAGAGCAGGGAATCTATAAGAAATAAAACAGTTTTTAAATAATATAATGCTATTTAAATGGCTACTGTGCGCTTCAACCTTCAAATGGCGGGTAATGATGTGGGAAATCAGATCGATGCCACCACCCTCGGCCTTATCGAAACCCTTGATGAGTGAAATGGCAACGGCATTTGGCTTGATTTTACCCAAAAGTGTTTTGCAGAAGTTCGGAATGAACTGATGTGGCACGACGAAGATGAGTATGTCGGCATTCTTGCAGGCGTCAATTAGATCTGGTACAGCAACCTGGAAAAATTTGTAAAAATTCAAATTATTAATGCACTAGGAAGTGATTTTTATACAGCAAATATTCATTACGTTGATTGATCGCCTAATACTGAGCAAGTAGTGCAAAAAATATTAGAAGTATAAAAAGAATGATTACGGCGTCAAAATGTCTAATTTACCTTTGCAAAAACAAAAAACACAGTTAATGAACAAGTGTTTTTTGTTAACGCTCTTAGTCACAAAAATGATTAGAAAATATGCTGGTGAGTATGCATATTAATAGAGTTGGCGCCGTTCGCCTACTAATAACAACAATCGTAAAGGCAATATATTGGCAAACAATGTGAGGTTCTATGGCTTAAATCGATAAGAGCAAATATTTATTTTATTACCTACTATATATGCAGATACATATGTATGCACATACATCTGTATAACATTACCGAAAAGTCCTTATAATACATTTTTCAAAAGAAAATAAATTAAATTATAATTTATTGCAATATGACACCTTTAAAATACATAATACTTGTATTGCCGTTTTTAGCTATGGAAGGCATGCATGGTGGTTACATATTTATGTATATTTTTTTGGAATTTTTATATAAAGAAACGAAATGTATACAAATATATTTAAAACCATTGCTGGTTATTAATACAGTGCCAATCGAACAAGTAACTTGTATAAATCACTTAGATTGGCATAATCAAAATTGATGGAATAGAAATATGTTATCAAACAGTATTGAGGTAGGCGCATACTCTCTTGTATTGAATTCAATAGTGGTATGTAGGGAATGTGGTGAATATAAATAATTCTTCAAATCTTAGATTTTAATTTGGTATAATTTTTTTTTTGTTTGTGAAATCGAAATTCGACGTTTTAACAGATTTGTAATAAGTTAGAATCATTTCACCGAAAAACGTGGGTTTTTTTATTTATACTTTAGACTTTGTGGAATCAGAAATGATTAATATTTCAACTGCTCAAGTGAAGAAATTAAACTATGTTGATTTAAAAAACTAAACAAATGTATATAAAAAAAAAAACAAATAAAGATATTTTTAAAAAAATTTATAAGTATTACTTGTTAAGTAATCGAAGAAAAATTAAAAAAACAAAACATTCAATATCTTTATTACCTGCAGCCTTTGCTTGAAATAATAATGCGTTAGACGTTTGAGCGTGTTTTGGAAATGAGAAAGCTTTAAATGCTTCAAAAGCAAGGGTAGCAGCACTAAACCAATCCCTAAAAAATAGGTTTAAGTGCTCAGCGTGGCGAGCTGAGTCGATTTAGCTATGTCCATCTGTATGTCCGTTTGTCCGTCTCTATATACGCCACTACCATACAAACTGACCGATCAAAATTAAATCCTTGTATAGAACACTTTGTTATTTAATAAGATATCTTGAAGAAATTTAGCCTAGATTATTATGCTAGACAACACTACAATATCCGAACAAATTGTTCAGATCGGACCACTCGAGCATATAGCTGCCATACATACTCACCGATCAAAATCAAATATTTTTATGAAAAACTTTTTTATTTAAATATATAGGATATCTTCACAATATTTGACATTGATGATTATTGCCTAACACAACTCTACAATCTTCTAATATATTCTTCAGATCGGACCACTATCACATATAGCTGTCATACGAACTGACCGACCAAAAGTTCTTGTAATGATTTTTCCTATTTTTATTCAAATCTACTTGAGTATAAGTTGATTTTTTGCATAAAAAGGTAATAAAGATTAATTTAATTATTTGATAATGCTGCAATTTCGTACAACACTGTATACATTTTTTGAGCATATTCAAAATTCAACGCCATACGAATATGTAGATATGTAACCACATCTTGGTATCTATTACTAAACACACAGCTAATTTGAAATTCAAAAATTGATAAGCCAACAGCAGACGGCAACACACATGATCAGCACGAGTAATACGTTTATAGTACAGAGTACAACTTAACGGTAAATACATAATAATCGAACGAGAATAATCAATTATGTAAAGAGCCGGCAAACAAGCAAACAATAACAATATGATTATCATTGCGGTGCGTTTGAAACTGGTTGTCTGGCTGACTAGGAAAGTTCCATAGACATAATGCTACTTAAATAAATACCATATAAATATGTACATATGTTGTGGTGTTCGCAGACAATTTGTAAAAATATAGTTTAGTAGACAAAAACGATTTTCAAAATTATTCACGTAATTTAGCAATATTACCAATACAAATGTATAGTCGTATGTATGTGCGTCTTGACTTTCTAAGGAACATTTGGAAGCTTGATTATTTTGCAAGTAACTCCGTTTTAAGATGTGCATAATTTAATTGTAGAAACATTATCTAAGCTCAGCTGATTAAGGAAAGCAATTAAAGACAGTGTTATTACACCAGCGTATAATTGTCTCATAAATCAGGTTCCCACTTAAAAGCTTAGAATATGTAGTATAGGTAAACGTCAGCGCTTAAAACTAGAACGTGGAGCGTGCAAGCAAAGTGATTAGCGCTTGTTCGTATGTTTTCGTTATGTAATTTGTTATTGTCTTTATTAAGTTGACTTCTGTACAATTTTATTTATTTTTGGTCTTGCTTTCTCATGTAAATAAATGTATACAAACATATATGTATATTTACACAAGTAGATTAAATTAGGTTCATAAAAGATTTTCCTTACATATTACACACATGCACATGCACAAATACATACATACATATATGTTTGCATGTGCATTTTATGTATATTATATATACCAAAATAGCTTTAAAAAGGGCCAAAAGAAACAGCTGCTTGTGAGTATGTCGATATGTATGTATTTAAAGCGTGTTTTTGTATTTCAAATTCAAGTTAGTTCATGCTAATGAGGTTTTACAAATGTAATCAATTAAAAAAAACTGCTTTTGGTAGCAATGTGTTCTGTATTATTCAGGACAAAGGTATATGTATTATTATATCAGGTGTGAAGCAGTACGAGTATTCAGACAGCAGTACGAGTATTCGATAGTTGTTACTTCGTTATAACACTTAACATAACTGTGAACATACTTTTTGCCCTATCTCAGTAGTGTGGTATATTTTTTGTTTCAAAAACTACCGAATAAAGACCAACGAATTAAAAAAGCTTGCCTGAATACCAATATTATTATTACTGTTTTTTTGAAATTTAAAAAAATTTAAAAGTTTGTTAATGCGGGCAGGGTTGCCAATTTTTTAATTCAAAAATTTTTGTCTAAAAATTAGATTTTAAATTTTCAATTCCAAGTTTTAACCTAAGAAGTTTGTGATTAAGAATTAATTTTCTAATTTTCAATTCGCAATTAAAAATTGGGAAAATATTTTTTATTTATTTTAGTAAAAAAAAAATATTTTTTAAATTAAAAGCGGAAATGAAAAGGGTCAAAAAGAAAAGATTTACATATTTCTAACTGAAACACTATAATTAAAAGTAATTAAGTGTAAATAAGACAAAGAGTGCTGAACTACCATATATTGAAATTTTATGGATAAAAAGGCTCTCTTTTCTATTCAAAAGATAACTAAACTGTTAAAAAATAAGTACACAAAAGCGAAAAAATGGAAATTCTAAAATAATTTAATTTTATTAATTTTTTATTATAAGCTTGGGATTAACTTTTTTTTTTGTTTTTCATTGCGGTATTTACGATTACAAATTTTAATTTCTAAGCCGATTTTTGGTATAAACATTTTTGTATTTTTCATTTCGGTATTTGAAAATAAAACTTATCAGGTATTTGGAAATAGGAATTTTAAAATTAATTCTAATTAACACTTTCGGAATTAAAAAAACAAAAAATTAATTTAATTCAAATGTTAATTACCCTTGCTTGCTGATAACGTTATACTAGTTGAACAGTCTATCCCGATAGCATTATTAGAGAAACAGTCTATAACCATTTTCTCATATTATTATTATTAATATTAGACCGTAACGAAATTGTAGAATTATTTATTAACTGTCTGCACTAGTAAATACTTAACTATCTGAAAATCAAAGTGGCTTTTTATATTTTTCTTTTATCAATTCTGCTATTTAACTGATAAATGTGGTCTTGTATTATAGATATATGTACATACATACGTACTATGTAGTTATATTACAAACATATTTTTTTTTACATATAATGTTTTATATACTATTCTTGCAAATATACACATATGCACTTAAGCACTTCTCTTCACATTTTTCGATGCTTCAATGGATATATTTTTAAATCATGTACCATATTTATGTACATATGTCTATATGTAGTATGTATGTACCTATGAAAATCATTAACTGTAGATGTACAAATGTCTGCAAGTAAACATATTATTCCAAATCTATCGAAATTTTCCTTAGCAACTTATTTAGTACGACTTATTATTTTGATTCTTTCATGCTGTGCATAGAATTTCCTTATAAAAATTGCAACTAATTAACTATGCAAATATGTTTCCTAAACATTTTTTAGAATTAAAATTTTATATCTTTCATAGAAAGGAAAAAGTCAACTACTTTGCTATCATATGTATAAATAAACATATTTAGTAATTTAAAACATTAGAAAAATATAAAAATATAGGCCAACGTGTAAAAGGGCTGTCAAAGTTACACACACTGACACATATTTACAGCGTGCATTTGTAAACAAACACTCAGTTTGTAAGCAATAAATATTGAAATCAAGTAAATATTCTATTAGCATGACTGATAATGACTACAAGTTGAACTATGAATAATTATACCCTGAACAGGTTGGTATTTTTTGATTAAAAAATTTGCAATTAATAATTAAATTTTCATATTTTAATCCCGATGTTGAGATTAAAAATTAAATTTTCAGTTTTTAATCCAAGATGTTTGGGATTGACTATTAAGAATTGAAGATAAAATTTCAAATTTTGATTTGAATAAACGCGAAAAAATGTTAAATCTAAAGAAAATTCTTTTAATTCCTAAATTATGCTTAAGCTTGAAATTTAAATTT